TCTCATCTCGTCCTCTTGTCGGTTGGATTTTCCGCCAGGTTTCCCGTTGAAGCAGAGCAAGATCGTCGATTTCTTCCGGATCGAGAAGGGCGCGGAGGGCGGCGCCGTCCGGCCGGCAAAGTGCGGGCTTTCTCAGGGTAATTTTTTCTTATCCCCTCAAATTTTGAATCGCATGGATTTTGTTCATCTAAGCTAGGGAGTCTGCGATGAGGAATCGTCGCGCAATTGTTGCACACACTGCATTGCCATCTGCTGATGGTGCAGATAATCCATAAGGTGCAAATAGTTCATCTGAATACTTGACTGATTATGTGTATGATACACATCTGGTAGGATTAAAGGTTTACACTATGTGGGTGTTGTGTGTTGATTAGTTCGTTGTTTGTTTTGTTTTGCTAGGCTGGCCTGTCGACACAGTAGTATCCTATGTATATGTCACAGTAGGGTTATGAACATTGAGAAATGCAGTGAGCTATCACCGCAGGAAATGCGCGGGAAAGCTACCGCCGCCAGAATTGCGCGGCAAAAACATCACTGCTGGAAATACGCGGGAAAGCATCGTTAAAAAGCTTTAATTTGACCTTAATACCACAGTTTTATTTTGGTAATAGGGATGTGTTATTTAAATAGACCGGTCAAGTTTGTACGGATTAAATGTGTTCCATTTATTCGTGGGGATATGCTACATGTACATAATGTTGATGATCTCCCTTGCTTTCATTGAGCCATAAAAAAGCCGCCACATTTTGTAGTTTATATAAAACATGACCAAATACGTGTAGGATGCACATCTGATGGGAGAAAAGGGGGTGTTGTATGTTGATTCATGAACTGTTTTGTTTTGATGTCTGACCGGTGAATCCAATTGTATCCTGCATATATCTCCAATTAACTGAAATTTTTAGTTTGTTGGGACGCAACAGCTACTTAACAACTGCATATATCTCCAATCCAATAGTATCCTGCATATAGCTCACTGCATTTATTCATTACTTCATACTTGTATACAGATGCTAAGAGGCGAAAGAGACGATCTCTTGTTATGCACAAGAAGAAGAGGAGGCTACTGCCATTTGTGCCAACTGCAGATAGAGTTCGAAGGCTTGAACAGATGGCTTCTGCAGCCACTGCATTGACATCGTCGAAAATGGAGTTCAGCAATGAGCTGACTTATGTGCCGAGTATGGCCCCTATATCTGCCAATCAAGCAAAACTGGAGGAAGGTGGTATGCAGGTTAGCAATTTTTGTACCTAAAAACAGTATAATGTATTTCTTGATCTCTTGGTGCCTAACGATACACTTGTTGACTTTCAAGGTTCTTTCAAAAGAGGACAAGGAAACCATTGAACTTTGCAGAAGCATGTTGAAAAGAGGAGAATGCCCTCCTCTTCTGGTGGTTTTTGATTCCCATGAGGGGTATGTTTTCGGAATTATTCTTCTGACATTTCTTCATTTTTCAGTATGGAGCAATTAAACTAATACATATTTGTTTTCAGCTTCACTGTGCAGGCTGATGCATATATTAAAGATCTCACATTCTTAACTGAATACGCTGGTGATGTTGATTATTTAAAGAACAGGGAAAATGATGGCTGTGATAGTATAATGACCCTTCTATCACCAGCGGATCCTTCCCAGAAGCTTGTCATCTGCCCCGACAAACGTGGAAACATCGCCCGCTTTATTAACGGCATCAACAACCACACTCCGTAAGTAGTCGCTGCCTATCCTTATGAATGTACATGTGTTAAGCATTACTTACGCCACTCTAATATCGTCCAATTCCTGCAGTGATGGAAAGAAAAAGCAGAACGTCAAGTGTGTGAGGTACGACATCGACGGCGAGTGCCATGTCTTGCTGGTCGCCTGCCGTGATATAGCTCGTGGTGAGAAGCTGTACTACGACTACAACGGGCATGAGTATGCGTACCCAACGCATCATTTCGTCTAACTCCCCCAATAGTTCTGACCTGCCCAGCATCAAGGAGTCTGGGCGATTAATGGCGGCAGTTTCAGCATTGCCGCTGAAATCCAGTAACTTATATACAGTTCAATTGCCAGAAGAGGTCCCCGATGGCGAACAATATACATGCTGATGTTGTTAGTATCTAGTAGTGAAAACAGTCTTCATTCAGCTGTGGAGAGAGACAAGTGGGATCTTCATTTTCTTTTTCTCCTGACCTCCCAAGATGTCGTTGTCTTATTCATATTCATTGTTGTTGCGGAGTTCCTGCTCGACTAGAGTCTTTCTCGGGGATTCATGCCCCTTTCTATAGGAGTAAATATCTATCTGCCCCTGTCTCTCTCTGTCGAATGGTTAAGTAGCTGTTGTGTCCCAATTAGTGGTACATTTGAAACTGGAAGAGAAATGTTCACCCCATTTGTTGGGGAATTGTTCTCTATGTTCAGTTATTTCGGATGATGAAATATGCTTTCCCTGTTGGTGCTGTGGTTTTCTTTTACTTTGTTATTATTGCCCTATTGCTGCTGGGTATTTTATTTATTTGTTCCTTTGACACCTCCCAACTTTCAGAAGCCGTGGCAAGCTACGAGCAGAACTTCCTTGCCTTTGTAACCTCTTGAAGATGATCCAGTGCTGCTGATTTCGCCAAGAAAAGTTTTTGCAGAGAATGTATGCAGTGCTACTGTGTATGTGTTTAGATCATGCTATGCTATGAACCCATAACTAAAAAGTTACCAAAATGTATAATTGATTTGACACCATAGAAACAAAATGTGTCATGCTATCAATTTAGTTTGACAACTACAAGTTACAAAGTTTATGGGAACCTTTTAGAACGTTTCGGTCCATTTTTTCATTTCTTTATTTTGTTGTTGTTTTCCTCACGGATTTATTTGTTTTTTCTTTTGATTTTCAACGATTTTTTGGGGTTTTAATGGGTTTTACCTTTCTTTCTCTGTTTTTATTGGGTTCTTTTTTTTTCTCTGTTTTCTTCAGTTTTCTTTATTTCTTTCTCAGTTTTCGTTTTTTTACTGGTTCTCTTTGGGTTTTCTTTTTTCTTTGCTATAACTTTAGTTTCCTTTGCTTTTTCACTGGTTTTATTTGTTTCTTTCTCGTTTTCACATTTTTTTTTCATTTTTGCGCCTTTTTGTTGTTTTTCTATGGTTGTTTCTTTCTTTCTTGATTTTCTCTTTTTTGCACCACCCCCCTCCCGGTTTTCTTGTTTCCTTTTTCTGTTCAGTTTTCTTTCATTTGTTTCTTATGTTTCTTTAATTTTTTATTTATTTCAACACATATCTACATTTTTGTTACACAATGTACATCTTTCGTACACGTCAAGAACATTTTATAATACATGTTAAACATTTTTCAAATAAATGATTAACATTGTTTTTCAAGTAAATCAAATATTTGATGTATATGTTTTCATACACATTGCACATTTTTGGTATACATATAAAACATTTCTTAATACAGGTTCAACACTATATAAGTATATGTTTTTCTTTCAAATATATGCTTTGATGTCTAATTTTTTCCGTACAGAACATACATATTTCTTATACACCCAACACATTTTTTATGCATGCTCAACATTTTTCATATACAGTTAAACATTTTTCAAATATGTGTTTAACATTTTTAAAAACTTATACCTTTTGTTGTCTACTTTTTCCCATACACATTGTATATTTTTTCTATACCCCAGCAACATTTCTTATATACACGTTTAACACTTTTCAAATACATGATTAATATTTTTTTTGGTGTTTACTTTTCCCCTAAACATTGGGATATTGTTTATATACATTAGGAATATTTTTTATTTAGAGTTTATACATTTTCAAATACAAAATTAACATATTTTCATATATATGTTTTGATATCTATTTTTCATACACATTTACATTTTTTTTATATATTAGAAACATTTTTTATGCATGATTAAAATTTTTCAACTTCTGTATATGAAGTGATATTTATAATAGATATAATCAGAATATTTTGAAATACAAGCAAAAATGAAAAAAGTAATGCAGAAAACCCAATGCAAAGACGTGAAACAAAACAGAAGAAATAAAAGTGCTGAAGGCCTGTCCGCGTCAAGCCAGACATAGGGGCGCCCGCACCACGGAAAAAGTCCATTTTAAACCTTGAATTTGTAGGGGTTCGGCGAAATGAATCCCCAAGTCAAAATCCCGGTCGATTGCACCTTGAACTATGTAATCCCGGTCTAAATCAAACCCTGGCAAAAATCAACCGGGATTTGTCTAGCTGGTGGGCCAAGGAGCGGCATGTCAGCAAATCGACGCACATGACGCACGACAGGGCCGGCCCAGCAACCCGCCTGTTGTCTCGCTTCCCTTTCCGCGAGAAAAAAATAATTAGCGAGTACCATGACTCGACCCCACGACCGACTAGACGAACCACGAGCCATTAGCCACTACACCATACACAACAACTTGAAAATGTTGGTGCAGAAATCTATAAGAATAGACAACAGTTGAGATTGGAAAACATTTTCAAAAATATTTCTTGAAAATTGCAAGCAGTTTTAAGATACCGCACTTTTTTGTATTCCATATTTCTGGAAAAGTGAAGATGTTTTGTAATTCTGATTTAAAAATTAACACGAACAAAATTTGCAAACCCCAAACAGATTCCAAAAACGCGAACAATTTTAAAAAAAACAGGAAAACAAACAAATTATGAAAAACACGAACACTTTTTTAGATTGTGAACAGTATTTATTATTTTAGAAAATATATAACAGGATTTTTTTTAATTTAGCGACATAAAAGTTAAAACAAAAACTTTTTTTAAAAAGCAAACAAAATTTGTATTGTACGCATTTTAGGAAACGCGAACAAAAATGAAAAAGGTGTGTGGAAGATAATTCAAACTCGCGGCAAATATATGATAGCATTTTTGAAAAAAGTATTAATAGATGAACATTTTTGTAATATATGTTGAACAATTTTCTAAAAAATATTCAACAATTGTGCTATATACACTGAACAAATTTCTAATACAAGATGAAATTTTTTATAAATGAGTGAAATTTTTGGAAAGTACCTTGAATATTTCCTTAATCCGTGAAAAAGAAATGAAAGAAAAAAGAAAAGATAAAAAGAAATAATAAAGAAAAAGATCCACGAACACATTTTCAATTTAATAGTTTGTTTTTCAGAAACTGTGATTTTTTGCCAAATCCATGGACTTTTCTTTTGAAAACCCATGAACTTGTTTTCAAAATTGTTGAGCTTTTTCTAGATCCGTGAACTTTTTTTAATAAAACTTGTGAACTTTTTTTATTTTTGAAATTCTAGTTCAGAAGTTTCTTTTTTTTCGATCAAACAACACCAACATGGGGTCTCGTGTTTGAGCCAGACCTGTTTTTTTTTTTGTTTTTTAACGAAAATAATTATGCGGGCCGGCCCAGCAGGGAGCAGAGTGTAGGGCCCTTTGCGGATTTTTGTTTTTGAACCGAAAAAATAAAGCGGGCTGGCCCAGCAGGAGCTGGTGGGCGCCCTCTGCGAAATGTCTGAATGCCGGCTATCCAAACGACCCGAAGGTTCGATTTAGACCGGGATTACATAGTTCAGGGTATAATCGATCAGAATTTTGACTTGAGGGTTCATTTCGCCGAACCCCTACAAATTCAGGGTTTAAAATGGACTTTTTCCCCGTACCACATACTCTTTTACCTCAAAATAAGTCCCACATACTTTTTTTTTCAGTTGAAACCTGGTCCCACATACACATGCGTGCCAAGCAAACATATGCACAATCCCACGCAGGAGCCAACGATGGTTAAGCCACGTACTGCGTTCCTTTTTATTTAGTCCGCGTATTAGCTTTGCTCAAAGTCAAGCTTTGTAAACTTTGACAAAGTTTATAAACAAAAATATTAACATATGTAATAGCAAATTAATACTATTAAATTTATTATTAAATGTACTTTCACACCACATTGATTTCTTATGATAAATGTCTATATTATTTTCTGTAAACTTGGTCAAATTTTACGAAGTCTGACTTTAGTCAACACTAATATGCAGAGTAAATAAAAACGGAGGAAGTACCTACGTAATGGCGATTTCCTAGTCGTCGCATTTTGTGACAGAATGTCAAGGCTACACACATCCTTGGCTGCAACATGGGACGGCCCAAACAAACAAACAAACAACAACAACAACAACAACAACAACAACAACAACAACAACAACAACAACAACAAAGCCTTTAGTCCCAAACAAGTTGGGGTAGGCTAGAGGTGAAATCCATAAAATCTCACGACCAACTCATGGTTTGGGCACATGGATAGCAAGCTTTCACGCACCCCTGTCCATAGCTAGTTCGCAACATGGGACGACCCACATTGTTTTTTTATGCGAACATCCCGGTTTTGGGAAGATTAGAAGGTTCTGACCGGTTTTGGGAACCTTCTAGAAGGTTCCCGAATCGGTTTTGCCTTCATGATTTGTTTCTTTTCCTTCTTCATTTAATTTTTCTCTTTTTTTTACTTTTCTTCACTTTTTCAGTTGTTTTTTCTTCATCGTTTTTTTGGATTCTTCTCCTTTTTATATTCATTTTCTTTGTTCTTTTTCTTATTCCAAACAATTGCAAATTTACAAAAATGGTTCATGTTTCCAAAAATTGTTAGTTTTTTTTTTAAAATCTGTCTGCAATTTAAAAATGGTTAGAAATTTAAAAATTGTTAGTTTTTTTTAAAATCTGTCCGCAATTTAAAAATGGTTAGAAATTTCAAAATTGTTTGCAACTTTTCAAGTATTTTCTAGTTACGCTGCTCCTTAGAATTTGGGCGCCTCATTTCTCACTACTAGCAGGCAGAAGGCACACCTAGAAATTTCAAACAATGTTTAATTTTTTAAAATTGTTTGCAACTTTTCAAGTATTTCCTAGTTATGCTGCTCCTTAGACTCCGGGCGCCTCATTTGTCACTACTAGCAGGCAGAAGGCACACC